TTTCCTCTCTGACCACTTTCTAATAACCTTCAGGATTACTGTAACAGTTCTCCTCCCCCATAATGACTAGCAGATCGTTATTAGATAGTGCAGTTATAAATATTAAAGAACCTCTTCCCTTTTCTCTCCCCTCTGTAATTTATTCTCCTTTACAGGTTGATGGTTTTGTTGCTGGTGTGAGGGATTGCTGTATCAATGAAACGGTGCAATCTGATATCTACTGTCTCTACCTGCTCATCAAGGACAGAGAATCCTTCAAGGTCAGCGAGTCAATGCAAACATTTCGTCTGATTGATTTGTTTGTGTAAAGTGACGACATGTTGTTAACTGATGCGATAGAAATAACCCTAACTGAACTGAACATGAATTGAATGGCAGGTGGTTCTCATGTGTTTCTCATCTTTAGCTGCATCAGAGGCAGATCTGTGGCGCAGATCTAGAAGAAGGACACAGCTTCCTCTCCTCACAGCATGCCGGCTCTTCTTTCCCACGTTAAAGATGAATAAGTGAGATTCTGGGGCTTCGAAATACATGAACTCAGATAAAAAGGTGGAGCTTCAACGCCTCTCTGGGAGATCAGGCTGCTCTAGATCTAATCTATAAACACATTCTGGTTTAATATCTGCACTGTTGTTACCAGTCATGCTGAAAACTGCAGCTAAAAGGTCTGACTAGAAACTTTAAATCTATAAACACATTCTGTCTGATCAGGGGGGAAGGAAAACATTTTTATCTAGAAGCAGAAAACTGGAGCTAAAGACAAGAGAAGAGATGAAGGCTTACGGTCGGGTTGGGTGGCGATCTTTAGGGGGGTGGAGCTCTCTCCAGGCCCCGCCTCGTTGTAGGCGACCACTCTGAAGCGGTAGGTCTCCTCTGGCTTCAGGTTGGAAACTGTCAGCTCCAGGGACTCTGGCTCCGACACGTTCACTGACCTCTCTCTGCAGTGGGAAAACATCATTAATGAGCGCTCTCCGTTGTGGAGATAATCTGGGTGTTGATCAGCTGTAATCTGTGTAATCCTTCAGTCTGTGGCTAATCCACAGATTTTAGCGCCTCCTTGGCTGATCAGAGCTGCAGCAGCAGGAACCATCAGGCTGTGGTTCAGTTAAAGGTGATGAAGCCGATGGTGAAGGCTTCATCACCGTACGCAGCCACTGAGCCTTCATCAGGGTGTAATTAGCTAGGGTCCTTTAAGCTAATGTAAGGGGGCGGAGCCTGATGGTGGCCTCCAGGGATCGGCGCTCTGAACCAAACGGTCACCTGGACGTTGATTTAAACGGAGAAACCTTCTGCTCCCTGAACTCATTCCTCCTCCTCTGGCTCTAGCTGCTCTGAGCTGCCCGCTTCGTCTCCAGGAAGCAGTCTGAGCCCGTTAGCTTCCCGTTTCCAAGGAAACAAAGGCGTCCATGGTCGGTTAAGTCATTTCACTGATCGTTGGTTTAAGTTTCTTCATTTCAAACCAAAAGGCTGCTTCTGTTTGGAGGCCTGAGACAGAAAATGAGGAATGAAGCTGAAAAATGATCCCAGAGAAATGATCATTTTCTGCTCTTTTGACATCCAAAACCAATCGGTCTGAAAAACGAGGCATTTAAAGAGGCAGAAACCTCATTTAATCCACCTGAGTTCTCTGCAGTTTCCTGAAGATTGGATCCATTTTAACGTAAAACATCTCTTCCTGTTTCTCCCAGTGCTTTTCACTGGTTTCCTCTCAGACTCGTTTCCAGACGTTACCGAGGCTGAAAGACTCACTGAACCTCTGATTCTAGCTGCTCCTATCCTGGTTCAGGGATGGACCGTCCCTGCTTGCTTCTTGAGAGCGACCGAACGCGACCTGCTGAGGGTGGGCTGGACGCCGGCGGCCCGCGTTCCGCTCACTCTGATGAAGTCCGGTCCAGTCAGCGGCCCAGCAGTCCACACTTCATATTGACTATGGGTATGCTGGTCTGATGGGGTATGCTGGTCTGATGGGTATGCTGGTCTGATGGGGTATGCTGGTCTGATGGGTATGCTGGTCTGATGGGTATGCTGGTCTGATGGGGTATGCTGGTCTGATGGGTATGCTGGCCTGATGGGTATGCTGGTCTGATGGGGTATGCTGGTCTGACGGGTATGCTGGTCTGACGGGTATGCTGGTCTGATGGGGTATGCTGGTCTGATGGGTATGCTGGTCTGATGGGTATGCTGGTCTGATGGGTATGCTGGTCTGATGGGGTA